CCTTTTTTCTTTACATACGGTCACATTGTTCAACACCATTATTAATGGTTTGTTTGTAAACACAATGTTTATAAACATGGTTTATTGGTAAACAAACCGCCTACACATGTCATAAATCTGTAGCGACGCACTGATCATTCGTGAATTGTGGTTTATCTGCGCTTCATGTGTGTTGTGTTCCGTGTTGTGAGTTTTGCTAATATACTTTGACTAGTGATTATCACTTGCTGTAGTTTTAATTTTTCAATTGCAATGGAATACTTTTTAACTGCAAAACGAAAAATACTTAAATGTTCAATAAAAAACTGCAAAAGTTTAGAAGTAGATCCGGCATTAGTAAGTCATTTTNCCTTTTTTCTTTACATACGGTCACATTGTTCAACACCATTATTAATGGTTTGTTTGTAAACACAATGTTTATAAACATGGTTTATTGGTAAACAAACCGCCTACACATGTCATAAATCTGTAGCGACGCACTGATCATTCGTGAATTGTGGTTTGTCTGCGCTTCATGTGTGTTGTGTTCCGTTCACCGTTGTTGTGAGTTTTGCTATTATATTTTGACTAGTGATTATCACTTGCTGTAGTTTTAATTTTTCAATTGCAATGGACTACTTTTTAACTGCAAAACGAAAAATACTTAAATGTTCAATAAAAAACTGCAAAAGTTTAGAAGTAGATCCGGCATTAGTAAGTCATTTTTCTTTTCCTAAGGATCCTTGTAGGTAAGTAATTTGTTTAGCATTTATAAAATATATTTCAATTAATTGAAATATTAAATTATTATTTATTGTATAGGTGTGAAGTTTGGATTGACAAATGTGGATTGTCCCATCTCAAAGGAATTGATGCAGCAGTTTTGAACAAAAATTATCGGTTGTGTTCATTGCATTTTGAAAACTGTATGTTTCGAAATGAAAAACAGAACCGTCTTAGACCTGATGCTATTCCAACGTTATTTGAAGATGCACTATTAAACAAAGAGGAACAGGCTGTTGAAACTATTGCTGATAATGATAATGAAACAGTGGAGTGCTTGCCATCATGTTCAACACCTGGTATGTTTTTACTTATAACTTTAGCTATTTCTAAAATAATTTATAAATACTTAATTAGACTGATTATTATATTATAATACTATTTAATTTTTTATTACAATATCTATTTAATTTTTATTTTAGATACATCCTCTGCCTATTCAACGATATCTGTGTCGGATGTATCCACTTCGACATCAGTAGAAATGAGTTCTACCCATTGTCAAACTCCATCATCTCTAACAGATCTAACTCCACGGAAAATGTCACTTAGGAAAGAGCTCTTCGCAGAAACAAAAAGAAGAAAAGAACTGGAGTCAGTAATAAGTTGTAATCCTGAACTAGCTGAAGATTATTCCATCATGACCTGTCTGAAAGTCTGTGAAAAATACTGCTCACCAACTATATGTCTATTGGTGAAATCACAAATTGAAAACAAAAATCGAAAACCAAAAGGATATAGGTATTCAAATGAAATCAAATAATTAGCTCTTAATATATAAAATATTAAAATAGGAAATTGTCTATTTTAACTCATCTATAAATTATTTATTAATGTATATGATATTTGTAAATTATTGTAATATATGTTTTAAATAAATTTAATATTATGTGGATATTGAATAATTTTTTTTTTTTTAAATAAGTCTTTATTAAATATACATAAAATAAAAAATATATTAAACAAACTAATTACACATAATGAAAACATTAATTGAAAGTTTTAAAATGGTGTTATATGTTTAGAAATAATAATAAAATAAATCCAAAATATTTACTATGCAAATTTTCTAAAATAATTAGCATGTAAATAATACATTTAGAGTTCAAATCAACCGCCGATGTACAATTATTGTACAGTACAATGAATTATATACATACAATTTTTTATTTTATTGTTTTTATGGTAACACTGAGCGACATAAGCTCAAAATTACCGTACTCTCATAAGAATACGTGTAATTTTTTTATCAGTGTCCATTCTGGTTTAATCTATTCTGTGGTGTAGTGTTGTCAAGGTGGATTCTTGGTCCAATCTTTGGTGAGTTGTTAAACTGTGAATCATAGATACCACATAACATATTATCTATATCATTATCATAACATTACGTCGCTTACAATTCCTTTAATTTATTCAAATTAAATTATACCAAATTAAAGTCTATTACTTTCAATAAAAAATTGATGAAAGGTGTCAACAGTATCTACATAGTTTTCTTTAAAATTCAAACTAATTGAATCGCACTAATTAAAATATCATTTACCTTAACTAAACAGATATCTAAGTGTATTGGAACGTATACTTATTTAAAAGTAATAATTGATTCACCTAGACAAGATTTGAGATATTGGCGTAATTAGGTTTTCAACTTGGGGGTTAATATACATAAAAAAATTGTTACTTCCTTTCCAAATGAAAATATCTGTATCTTAGTAATTATTTTTGTCGTGGGGGAAATCACCCATGAACCAGTACTAGACCAAAGAACAAACCCTAAAATTAAATAATAAAAAGAAAATTTTTAACAAAACGTAATACAAGCTTTTTTATAGTATTATATAAATTTACATGTCTTTGCTCCTAGCTCTTTACTATTGAACTCCCTTTTTGTGAGTTCAACAAGAGGATTTCGTTAAAATTGAGATAATTATAAATTTATATTAATAATAAAGATCATTTTTTGTGATTGTATTTAGGAACATATTTAATATTTTTTATTGAGGAACAAAATGTTTGGAAGAAATACCTTAATTTCTTCCCCTTTAAAAAAATTACTATGTAATTTTCTTATTTTAGAAGGGAGATGTTTATAACAAAAAGGTTGAAGCCACCTTTCCAAATTGTACCAATTGTCTCTCTCTTAATTATAATTTCTTTTTTTTTTTTGGCAAGAAATAATTTTTTTTAAAAAATCCTAAAAATTTGAAAGGCATATTAAGGTATTTTATTATAAACAAATTTCAATAATAAAAAACAAACTGGTTTATAAGATATTACAAATTAAATGTTAAAAATTATAACAAAAAACAATATAAAATATGATTTTAAGCTGTAGCGTATCCAAGATTTTTCAATGGCAAAACTAATATAAAAATAAAAATTGCGACCTAATTTTTTACTCAAAATTTTTATTTAGTTGAACATTGAAGAGGGGTAACTCTCTTAGAAATTTAAGTTATTTAAAGGTTTTCAGTAATTAAGTAGAAAAACACATCTTATATTATTAAGTTTAACAAAATAGACTTTTGGTAGTGAAATTATTTCAATGTTACATTATACAATAATTATTAGTTTGCCTTTCTTGAAAACTGTTATTTTTACTTGTATACCATATACCAAAGGTTAATTTATGATAAATTATTACAAATAGAAAACAAGATAAAAGGAACTATCCAATAAAATTATATGTATAATTTTCTATATTTATATATTATTAAATATATAATTAATAGAAAAATAATTTGAGATTACAAAAAAAATTAAAGAAATCCATAAATTATAAAAAATTTAATTGGACAATAACTTCATTATATAACCTTAATATTATTAATGATCTTTAGTCTATATTTATATGAACTTAACTCTATTTTGTTTCCTTGTAAAATATATCATTTTTTTATTCTATTTTATGACGAATTTTAATTTGTAATAAATAACATTTAATGAATGCACACAAAAATTTTAGGTATAAATATAAGTCATTCGCAAAATTATTTTACAATTATACAGAGATTAATAATGTTATTTTATATCATCAAAAATATGACAAAGATTTTAAAAAAATGAAGGTTACAATCAAAATTAATATTTTATTATAATATAAACATAAAATGATATCTCATATAAATAAAATTTAAAAATAAAATATAGACAGTTATTTATAAATCAGTTTTTTTTTACGAAAAGACATAAAATTCCACATTATTTTTTGTAAAATTACTAATCATTTAAACAATTTATCACTATTTAATGTTTAAGTATCGTTTTTTACAAGAAAGTTTAGTTATTAATTACAATAAATTTCATTTAAATCAATTTCTTCTAAGTTTTTTTCCAAGTGAAGGTTCTTTGTAATTTACCTTACTTGTTGCTGATCTTCTTGTCCTATGAATAGTTATTGAATCATTTACACTAGAATTATTACTTGTCTCACTAGATCTTCTGTTTTGTCTTTTTCGATAAGTTATGTTTCTTAGAATACAAGATTCAGAAAGCTGTTCATTATCATGACTATTTTCATTTTCACTAATTAATATAGAGTGACAAAAGTTGCTACTAGTGTTAGATACTGATGCAGTTACAGTGAATTTATCATCAAATGAATTGTTTACTTTTGGAGTTGAATTATCACAATTTTCTGAACATTTAGAATTTTCAAATAAATTTGGGCTCTCTTGATTATTTAACCAAATAGATCCATCATTTGGTATAATAGATTGTTTTGGTTTTCTTTCATTATCAACAGATTTGGAATTTTTTAATAATTGAGCAACATCTTTTAAACGCACATATGGTTCAATACTAAGTTTATGCTGAGGTGAATTTCTAAAACTAATTGATCTTTTAAGACGTTTTGGTGTTTGTTCAGAATTGGGACTTTCAATAATTGGGGACATACTTAATTTATTATTTGATGCAATAGGATTATTAATAGTGTTTCCTCTCATAATAGGTCGTACCGTTTTAGTTTGAGATTCTTTGGTATTGCCATTGATTGGTTGATTTTCAATTTTTACTAATTCATGAACAGTTTGCATCATACTTGGAAAATATTGCGATAAAGTAACTATTGCTGGCAGACAATTTTTTAAGTTTTGTTCTAGTTCATGTAGTTTTTTACAAACCATTTGATATAAAGCAGTCAAAGTTACATTAGAGTTTCTCACAGAATTCAATTCTTTTTCTAATGCCATATTTTGTAACAATAAACTGTTTCTAGTACCAGATAACTGTTTATTTAGGTTAGAATATTGGATTATACGTTTACGTAAACGTGAATTTACAAGCATATAATGATTCATTTTTTTAATGTAAATATTAGAATGTGATTGAACAGGTCTACGCTTAGATGCCACAGTCAATTTTGGTGCCATATTAAAAATTCTGAAAAATAAAATATATATATTTATATGAATACAACTAACAATACTAAATTATTTATAAATATAAAATTTTTAATAACATTATAGGCATTTATGAATTACACCTCTATGTTAAATTTTTCATAATACTTATCAATATTTATATAAACTATTAATTTTGTTTAATTAATCA